TTCCCTTTTCTGATTGCCAGTTAAATAGTTTTAATCCATAGCTTAACAATGAAGGGTCATACACTAAAGTCAACAATCTATCTAGCATTTCAGTCTAAGTTTGTCCATGTATACAACTGAAATCAATTGCAAGGCATGGGGGCCGGGGAGATGGATCAGTAGAATAAGTGCTTCCCTGACAAGCGCAAGGGCCTGAGTTCAATCCTCAGTTCCAAAAAAAACTACAAGGTCTGGCCTAACAGACATCAGGATTAAGTGCTTTTTACAGGCATGAAACTTTATCTTGCACACTGAAGTCATCATACACAAAGGGCAAAGTCAGAGCTTTTGCATTTGTGCTTATTCTTCATTTAACTTTTAAAACACTACCAAACTTGAATGTTGAAGCAAAAACAATAGTGAGTAGTGAGAATATGATTCTAGTCCTTCACACACTCACTACTGCACACTACATGCCAGCAGTGAGCACTATTCACTGGCCCCAGTAAGAGGTCTGACACAGGGGGCTGGGGAGATGGCTCAGTGGAATAAGTGCTTCCCTGGCAAGCGCAAGGGCCTGAGTTCAATCCCCAGTTCCACCAAAAAAAAAAGAGGTCTGACACTGAACACCACCTCTGGGATGATGTCTGTCATTCTCATAGGCTTCACACATTATAATAGTGTTGTCATTCCTGATTTGGATCAAAGTCCACCAGTTCTACCTGATCCATTTCATCGGTCTCTTCTACTTCCTTCTGCTCAGGTAAGAGCTTTTCCAGCAATGAGAGTTTATCAGGAGAGAGAAAGCCATTTTCAGGAAAGTTTACCTTAGATTCGATGATTAGAGAACCCTTTTCATATGGTCTACGACAAGTTGGAACGCCTTCATTTAGAACACACTTGATGTCTCCATGCTTGACAATTTGACCTGGATGAGAGGTGATGACTGTCATTCAGTTGCCAAGAGTGGATGTTGGCTTTTGGAGGACACACAGTGCTTCAACTAGCTGTATATCCATACACATGAAAAGATCTCATTGAGTAAAAACAGCATGGTCCTTCTGATCTAACACAACGATAATATCTCCTGGCTCCAGCCCCGGTTCTTGGTCTCCTTCTCCATGGAATGTTATCTTCCGGCCATCTTTCATGCCTTTGTCAATATGAACTTCTAGAATCTTCTTTTCTCTAGATATCTTCCTTCTGTTGCAGCTCTGACATCTGTCTTTGGGGCTGAGGCGTTCTCCATGGCCCCGGCACTCCACACACACAGACTGAATTTGCTGAAGCATTCCAGGTCCTTTCTGATGAATTCCTATTTGCATTCCAGTACTTCAGCAGTTGGGACACCACTCCAAAGCTCCTTTCTTACCACCTCAGCCTTCACATTTGTCACAAATGACATTATTTACAGATTTAATTTCCTTGTGGCACCATTATATAAGTCTCCTAAGGTAACCGAGAGCTGATGCAACACATTTTTACCTCTCCTTTCTCTCTGCATCCTTCCTCCCCCTCCAAAAAACATATCAAAGATATCCATGGGAGAGCCAAAACCACCACCTGCTCCACCCTCCTTAATTGCCTGTTCTCCTCCTTTGTCATATAATTCCCTTTTCTTGGCAACAGCGAGAACCTCATAAGCTTGAGAAATCTGTTTAAACTTTTCGCCTTCATTTGGATTCTTATCAGGATGGTACTTCAAAGCCAGTTTCCTAGAAGTCCTTTTCAGTCCTTCTTGGGTAGCACTGGGTTTGACCCCCAAAACATCATAATAAGTCATTTCTTTCACCATTTTCTACAGGTGATGAGTGAGCTAGGCTGCAGTGGGGTAGGCAGGAAAGAGCACATAGCCCTGTGCAGGTTGAGGAGCCACTGCTCCTCCACCTCTCAGCATGTTCTGGAAAGTTCTACTCTGCCAATTTTGAAAACATTTTATCTATTGTGTATTCAGTATGATATGGATTAAAGTGCCTGCAAGCAGGGGGTTTGATCCCAGGGCCTGCCATGCCAGCCTCACCCCCAGGGCTCACCGAGATGGCAATTGAGACTGGGCATGGTGGCGCATGCCTGTAATCCCAGCTCTTGGGAGGCTGTAAACAGGCAGATCACTGTGAGTCTGATCTAATAATGAGACCCTGAACACCCTGTAGACCCTTCCCTAAAATAGAAAGAAAAACAAAATTTTCAATATTATACAAATCTCTTTTAAAGTGAACTCTTATGTCCTTTGGATTATACTCCACTGAGAGTGTGTGTGTTGTGTGTGTGTGTGTGTGTGTGTGTGCGTGTGTGAGCTCATGTCCCTGGGGACTGAACCCAGGGTCATTGCATGCCCCTCTTTTATTTTTTATTTTAAGATAGGGGCTCACTAAGTTTCTCGGTTGCCCAGGCTGGGCTCAAACTTGGGATCTTTCTGCTTCCGGCTCCCAGAGTACTAGGCTCACAGACATGCGGCCACCATACCTGGCTCACTTTCTTCCTAGTTACCAGGTCCTCTGTGGCCCCAGGACCAGCAACTAGTACTGAGGCAGGTATATGTGTGACAAGGCACTCAAAAAAAAAAAAAAAAAGAAAGAAAAAAGAAAAAACAAACACAGCTCAGAACATCTGAGGCCAACATCCAAAGCTCTACACATCTACAGAACCCCTAAGCCCATCTCTGTGGACAAAAAGCCGCTGCTGGTGCCCCTTGTGTCCTGTGCTTCCCTTGGTTAACCCCATGTGACTTGTCTCGCCTGTCAGATTTTCCATTTGGTCATCCACTCGACCTTCAGCACAGCCCTATGTCTTGCAGAACTAAAAATAGCCATTCTGTGGAATGGGGGGTCGAAGTGCCGTTTGACTTCCCGAAGAGGAGTCATTCATGATGATAAACTGGTAATCAGGATTTGAACAATATAAAGGCGTCCAACGCAGTTATGTGAATCAGTCATCCACTCTTAGCTCAGGGCGTGTGTGTAGCTGGCTCTGAAGCCAGACTTCTTGAGTTCAAATGCTGGGCTTGTCCAACAGTAGAACTCTGGATAAGCTTAACCTTCCTGATCCTCACTCTACATCTGTAAGACAGGGGTTGCAAAGACTGCCTGCCCTGGGCGAATCTCACAGACATCATGTTGAACTGAATTGGAAGAGTGCGTGATGCACGATTATATGAATTTCAAGAGCGAGCTAACAGTGAGGAGGTCAAAAGGTGGCTACTTTTGGGGGAGAAGAATACCAACCAGGAAGGCGCTCAAGGGAGACTTCTGGGCGGCACTAGTGTGATCTCCATCGATCTGGGTGTTGGTGTATAAACATTCGTGAAGCTGTACTTTAACAGTCTGCTGTGCCTCAAGCGGAGCATGGTGGTGCACGCCTGCAATCCCAGCACATGGGAGACTGAGGCTGCAGGAGCCACATGAGTCAAGGCCAGCCTGGACTGCATAGCAAGACTGTCTCGAAAACACAAATTTTCTAACAAGGAATTACATCAGTACTGACTTGTCATTATTCCCTCAAAACTACAGTGCAACAACTATTGATATAACTTCACATTGTGTTAGGTGTTATAGGTAATTAGAGATGATGTAAAGTGTACAGGAGGGTGTGTACAGGTTATAGGCCATAAAGCAGTTGACTGACATAAAATTCTTGCACAGCTAGGCTTGACATCCACAAGGATTATACTCTACTCTGTGTGTGTGTGTGTTTCTGTGTGCGCATGCGCGCACACGCACGCATGCGCATTCATGTCCCTGGGAACTGAACTCAGGGTCATTGCATGCCCCTCTTTTATTTTTTATTTTAAGATAGGGGCTCATTATGTTTCTAAGTTGCCCAGGCTGGGCTCAAACTTGGGATCCTTCTGCTTCAGCCTCCCAGAGTTCTAGGCTCACAGACATGCGGCCACCACACCTGGCTCATTTTCTTCCTGGTTACCAAGTCCTCTGTGGCCCCAGGACCAACAACTAGTACTAAGGCAGGTATATGTGTGACAAGGCACTCAATAAAAAGAAAAAACAGGGGTTTTTCCAGGGGTTTCTGGAACAAACTCTGCCACAACCGCCAAGCAACGACTGCACTCATTACAACCGAATCATTTTTAAGAAGGCATGCCCCTTAGTTCTTAGGTCTTCATACCACTCCCAACATCTTTCTCTTGCTTTTGCAACTCGGTATTATTCTCTGTAATTAATTACAAAAATTATCCAACTCAGATCATGCTGAAGAGCACTTTGAAAGCAGTAAATCGGGAGCCCAGCAGAAGTCTGTGGCTAGAAGTTACCAGGCCTCCAGAACTCAGCAGGGCGCTGGCAGATGAGCATAGGCTTCCATTTCAGTAAGTTCCACATTCTAGAGGAAGTTTATTTTTTTTTTAATTTTTTTTTTTAATTTGTGTGTGTGTGTGTGTATGTGGCCAGCTCAGCCCACCAGGGGGCGGGGCTGGCCGGCATGTGGTTCTGGGGGATTGAACCGCGGTCCCTGTGCTTTGCTGAGCTTGTTCTAAGTAGGTGCTTTAGACCACTAAGCCATCTCACCAGCCCCATCTAGAGGAAGTTTAAAGTGAAGCAAAGAAATTCAGCAAAATAGTAAACAGACAGTGATAGCTTCGAATTTTTTTTTTTTTTTTTTTCAAATAGAAGTGAGGGCAGGGAGATAGTCAGTGGTCTAAGTGCCTGCCTGGCAAGCATAGGGACCTGAGTTTGATCCCTGGTACCGCATGCTGTGCCAGCCCCCAGAACCCTAGGCATTTGGTACAGGCCTAAAATCGGGCATGGTGGCGCACACCTGTAACCCCAGTTCTGGGGAGGCTGAGACAGGAGAATCACTATGAGTCTGGACTGCGTATCAAGACCCTGTAACATAATTTTTTAAAAAAATTTGAATGGAAATGAAACATAGGCAATTCACGCTTCCCTGCTGACCACCTTTCACTCTGAAGGTCATTTGGACCTCTCTTTGACCCTGTATGTTTTCTTCAGGGTCATCTCATTTAGGCCACCTCTCTCTTTTGTTTTGTTGTTTCCTTTCATTCTTACCTTGATAAAAGCAGAGCCAACACCATTGTCTGTGATGGTGAGTCCTAGTGAATCCTCAGATTTATACACATTCACTTCTTTTTTTAGTCCTTTCACGTGGGCAAATATGAAATCTTCAAGACCTAGTTGTCCTCCGAGGAGTCTCTGCATGTCAACTTTAGGTGTGTTTAAAGTGCAGAACAAGATCTGCAAAGAGAAGGAGGTATTTTAGGTCTTCATACCATCAGGACAACACCTCAGTTGCTAATTTATTTTTAAAAACTTTATTAAGTGAAAGGGTCCATTTATGATGCGAAAGTACACATCATAAAATGTGTTTGTATGGAAATGCAAACCAAAAAGATCACGGTAGGGAATGCAAATCGAAGCTTACACTGAGATTTCATCTTACTCCAGTCCCAATGGCTATTGTCAAGAAATACACGAAAAAACATCATCAAAAAAGAAAAAAATAAATACACAAAACAATAAATGCTGGCAAGGGTAAAAAATATACAATATCCTACACTGCTGGTGCAAATGTGTATTAGTATGGCCACAATGGAAATTAATATGAAGGTTCCATGAAAACTAAAACTAGAAATGCCAAATAATCCCGCTGTACCTCTCCTCAGTATCCCTGAAGAAGTTAAAAGCAGCACACTGGAGGGTTCCCTGCACAGCCATGGTTCTGTAGTACAATTCCCACTTGTCAAGATATGGAAGTAGACAAGCTGCCCATCAACAGGGGCATGAATAAAGAAAACAGAGTCTGTGCACATGCAGGAGAACTGTTCAGCCATAAAGAAGGGTGAAGTGTTGTCTTGTTCGGGAAAATAGATGGAACTGGAGATCATGTTACATGAAACAAGTAACAGGTTCAGAAAGACAAGTGTATTGTCCATAACACGTGGAATTCAAACTAAAAGAAAGAGATGGCATGAACGTAAAAGATGTAACTATGGTTACCCAGGAAGGAGAGGGAAGGAGGGCACAGCAAGAGTAATTCAGGGGCTGAGATGAGGTAGATATGTGACGGCATGGACGACTACACTAAATGGAACCCAATGCATTGTGAAATTAATGTAAAATAGGTACCAGTGACAAAAGTGCATGTTGTTTTTCAGAGATCACCAAGCTGCGTTCCCCTGAGAAATGAAGCCCCTTACCTCGACCTTTCCCTGACCTTTCCTTCAACGCTGTTCACTGAACTATGCAGAGCTGGCTGTATAGAACCTCATGAGGTTCCCTTAATGGGCTAAAAGAATGTGATGAGTCCAGCTAAGATGCCAACAGGTCTCACTGCAGCAGCACACAGGCAAGAATTACATCACACACACACACACACACACACACACACACACACACACACAGCGCACGCTGATAGCTGGAATGGGGGCTTGAGCAAGAGCCTGTGAGATTCCAGGGCTAAGACGTGAGATAACCCCTCAGCTGAGGCCATGGGACTCAAAAGAATTATACCTTCCTGGCAGGAAGGTGTCAGCCTTCCACGCGTCGAGCTCTTCGTTGCATGGCTGAGTGGAGGGCTCTCTGCCTGGTACGGTAGTGCTCTTTCTCCTCACAGCCATGCCTGCGGAGTTTCTCCTCCCTAAGCAGGCTGCCACAACCCCCACCCACCTCCCTGACTGATACCAGTGAAAACCATGAGCTCTCCCACTTGTGACTCTCTTGTTCCACAGAGAGTACTGGGTCACCCCAGAGCCTCAGCTGCAGAATTTCCTTTGTCTTTCTCTTCATCCATGTACCCTACTGCCAGGTAGGAGACTGATACCCTCCACAGGGGTTTTGGTCCTTGTTGGTTGAACAGAATCTGAGGCATATTTTCCTACAGTGACATGAGGTAACATGTACTGAATGTTTCATACAGGCCCAGCTCTGTGTTAAACAATTTGCATCTTCACAGTAACCTTGTAAGATACATTGCTGTTTCCATGTTTCATGGAGAAGAAAACAGGCTTAACGACATAAGGAAATTTTCTAAAGTCCCAAAGCCAGTACTTATCAGTCAAGGAGGTCTCACCAGCTGTTGTGGCATAGATGCACACTTGTAATCCCAGCAGAGGTAGGAGGATCATTGCGGGTTCAAGGCCAGCCTCAGCTATGTAGTTCAAGGGCAGCCTGCACTACATAAGACTGAACAGGAAATAAAGGTAAATGTGTTTCGTGTTTTGCAAACAAATGCAGAATTTACATAACCTCATGAATTCTTTGTTAAGATCTCCAAAAAGGAACTTCATTTAATTTTTTTTCTTTCAGTTAATGTAAGAATATTCTAAATCTCTGAGCTTCTGAAATGCTAGAGGTGGTAGTGACATTTTATCTACCTGAACATGTGTTTATTTTTCCTTGTTTACTCAAAGGTAACTTATGTCTCCAGCTCTGTGATATTACAGCTACAATTCGTTCATTAGCAAAGAGAGAAACCCCCTGATGGAATAAGTCAAAGATGAATTTGGACAAAATGGAAAGAAATTAGACTACTAGGTTCTGTTAAATTGTTACATGTATCTTGCTTTAATTTCCATTCATTAATTTATAGTTACCCAATTACAGAAAGCAAATGTGAAAGAAACAAACAAAATAAAGTCAAGGAGGTCTCACCAACTTCTAAGTGGCCACAGTGTTGGAGGGTCAGAGTCCATGACCCAGTGGCCCCTTCTGTTTGGTCTCTAGCAAAGGCAGCCAGTAGCAGTATATCACAGTGAGGCCAAACAGAAAGTCAAAGAGCATAGGGTCTCCCAATCCCTTGCAAAGGTATTTTAGTTACTTTTCTCCTCCCTGGAACACAATACCCTACACTCAAACATAGGAAGAGAGGCTTGCCTTGGCTTGTATCTTAGACATTTCAGTCCTTGAATGATCTGCAGAATCCAAGACAGGACAGCATGGCAGAGGGATATGGTCAAGGAGAGCTGCTCACAGCATGGGGGACAGGAAGCAGAGGGCCGGGGAGGAACCAGGATAGAAGAAACAGCATTGTACTCTGGGTTGTGCCCACAGTGACTCGACCTTCCAGCCAGGCCTCACCTTCCCACAGCAACTCGGCTGTAAGCACCCTACAATCCAGTCACCTCAGCAATGAGCCCACAGGGCTTTGGGGGACATCTAGACAGAACCATAACAAAGACTAGGCCTCCAATGACCTAAAGTCTAGGACCCCCCCCCCAGGTCTAAGACCCTCCTCCCAGAGTTCCTACCACATCCTGGCAGCGATCCCCTGTAACCACAGTGGACCCGTGTGAGACACAGATACCACAGCCAAGCCACAGGACCATCCTCATCCTGGAGTCACACGTCAACCCTCCCATCAGATCTGAATTCCACGCCATCCTAATTCCCACCACCACCTGGAACCTTAACATATCCATGATCCACAGAAAGTTCAAAACCAGGGTGCAATTACTGCTTATCCAATGGCTTTTTAGGACCTGTCAAAATATGTCTCAACTAGAAGAGCTTCATAAAATAAAGCTCTCTGCTACACAAAGAAAGGTTTCAGAGCTCAGGCAAATCCCAGAGGAGAAGAAGAAAAGGCCTGGGCACAAAATGATGAAAGCCACAGGTCAGTACTGCACTCCTCTCGCCTCTTACGGTCCTGGTCTTCAGTAAGTCTTTAATTTAGCTGTGTGCATGGCAAGGGCAAGATATATTAAGCTTTATAATCAATATGGTTTTGCAAACATTCTCCAATGTAAAAACTGCATTAGTCCCAGGGGTAAAAAATTCAGTTAAACCAAGAATTGTAAAATTCATGGCATAATCAGCCCACTGGCAAAAATCATTATGTGTGCATAGAAGGGAAAACCACTGTGTGGAGAAAGCAGCTTTTTCTTTCTCAAAATCACAGCACGCGAGGAAGAGAAATAATAAATGTAGCTGTCCCCTTGTTTTTCAAGGTCTGTCAGTCATACTCGTAGTGTGTCCCAAGTACCCACAGAACAGCAGTAGAGCAGTTAAACAGGAAATAAAAGATGAACGCACAGTGTAACAGGATAGGAGGAAATCTGGCTCAGCCTCCTCCTCCTCAGCTTCCTGTCTTGCAGGGCAGCCGTTCTTCCCTCAGAGCAAGTCCAAGAACTAACATGTATTGTTGGTCATTGTAAGGGGAAATCCAGACCTATTCTGAAGTCTATAGATGCCGGATATCTAGACTGCCATCTCTATCTACCTATCGCCATGGGAGAGGCAGTGGGCTCGTCGCTGCCCTGCTCCTTTAGAGCAGTACAGTCCTACAGATATAAAGACAACGTGAGCCATGGACTGCAACGCCTTCTGTGAGTCACATTAACAGAAGCAAAAATAAATATGTGAAATTCATTTAATGTATGGTTTAATGGTACAACCTAGTATAACAACAATAGTATTGATTCAATGTACAGTCAATGTAAAAATATTCAGACAGTTTACTCTTTTATGTTGTTTTTATTGTGCTTGGGATTTTTGTTTGTTTTTTTTTAAGGCAGGGTCTCACTACGTAATGCAGGCTGGCCCTGAATACACTACACAGCCCAAGCTGGCTTCAAACTCAGGGCACCCCTCTTGCCTCAGTATCCCACATGGTGAGATTACAGGTTTCCACTGAAATGCTAAGGAGCTTCTTAAATTGCATGACTTTTGCAGAAAACAGTAGATTTTGCTTCTCTTTTAATAGCATAGCTAGGATAAATTTCATTTTCCCCCGAAAGTTATATTATCCATCCATCTTTTTGTTGACATAACTCACACTTGGTCTTCTT